GGGGTGGGGGTGGGAGCTCCTATTTCTGCTCCTCGGCCAGGGCAGTCAGCTTTGCTGCTTCCCGTGGTGGGGAGGACGGTGACCCAGGGCTTTCCTTAGGGACCCACACACCCGGGCTGAACCGTAACCCCCTCTGAGCTCTGCACACACTTCATCCAATCCACAGGGCAGGGAAGGAGAGGATTCGGGGCGGGGCACCCAAGGCAGCCTCTGATGGGTGAGACACCTCGAAGTCACTTTACTCCACAGGAAAATGCGTGTGAATTTTATAGTATCGTCTATAGCTTAGCCATGCTTGAATATTAACAAGCAGTGCCTCACGTGTATTATTGCCATAGAATCACACTGGCCCCGGGGAGGTTCCAGTGCCTGGCTCCCAGGGCCCCACCCCCTCCACCTCCCAGGCCGCGGGGCAGGTGTGGGAGCTCTGGTCAGCCTGGGATGTTCTTCATGAAGCTGGGGACCTTGTGAAAGTCCCTCTTCAGCATTGACAGGCTCGCAGACACCAACAGGCAGAAAAGACAGACCCTCTGAGAACATGACCCAGGCAGCTGAGCTGCAGACCATGTGTAGCTTCGGGAAAGGGGCTTCCCCTGGGGCTGGCTGCTGACTAGCTCGCCTCCCCCCACCAGCGTGCAGGTCCCATCACAGACAAGTGGCCTCTTCATATACTTGAGAATCTGGTGCCCCATGGAGTGGTGGGGAAAAGGCAGGGGTCTGAATCAGAATGAGGTTGTGCCGGACTCAGCTGCCGTGGTGCTCTGAGCAAGCACTTTAGTGCTTTGAACCTCATGTGCCTCACCTGTAAAATGGGTTGTTACGAGGAGCAGAGGGAATCACTGAGGTGAAAACACTGGGCACCCCAAAGGTGCTATAAGAAGAATGAGGGTTTTACCGAGGACCCACAAAAATAGGTTTTCTTTTTGTCAGGACTGAAAGCAAACAGTGAGGAAGTAACCATGCATTTCATTCGATACCAGTTGAGGGGATGCTCTGAGACTCTTCTGTAAGTTTGGATCCAGTGGAGACAGTTCCTATTCTAAAACGGTTTCCTTGCTCCTTTAAATCTCTCTCTTCACCAGGCAGGAAATGCACAGTCTGCAGAAATGTTTGCCCCATCTTTGTTCCCTGGGCCTCCGTGCTGGGTGGGAAGGCAGCCCCCACTCAGCCGCAGCCCCTGAGGTCTAACGCTGGGATGCCTAGCAAATCACTCTGCCAAGGTCTGCGTGAGTCCCTCCGGAAGTTAAACCGGTTTTGGAACCCAAACTAGGAATCTAGGCTTCCAGCCCCTGGAGCCTGTGGGAATCTGACACCCTCTGTGTTGTAGCGCCCCTCACCTGCAGCTCCTGCTGCATGCATGAGCCAGGTGAGCGCAGGGCTGGCTGCAAGCAGAGGGTTTTAAACAGCCCACTGCCCGAACCACACCAAGCAGGAGGTGGTCCAGAAACAGTGGGTTGGAAGTGGGGGTGGAGCATGGATTGGCCTCACACAAAAATGAGTGCCTTGGCTGTTTCAGGGCCCAGTGGGAGAAATGTACTTCAGGTGGGCCCAAAGATGCTGGCAACCCTTGGAAGAGGCCCTGGAGGCCCAGTCCTCTCTCTCCATCTATGGTACAGATGTGGAAACAGAGTGCATCAGGTTTCCCGAGGCCCTGGTGCTACGTGCGACCTGGGTTGCCTTTGCTTGGATGGTTTTTGAAGTGACGGCCAAAGTGTTTCCATCTTGGGTGTCTGGGGCATAATCCCTGTATTATCTGGATGTGTCTACACCGGCCTGCATCTAAGGGCCTGAGAGAGAGGATGCAGCGGTGGTTTGTGGGTGACCCCAGGCTGCCCTTCTCTGTGTGGGCCCTACCTTCCCCTCCACAAACACAGACACATAGTCCTGGAAGTCCCAGGGGTCTGGCCACAATCCCGAGGGGCTGGCCTGGTGGCTCGCAGAGAGGAAGCTAGGAGGTGCTTTAAGGTAGCAGCTGGTGAATTCAGGGGCTGTACAAGGGAGACTTTGGGGGTGATGGAGACTTTATATGCTACTTGTGGCAGTGGTCACATGAATCTATACGTGTATTAAAACTCATAGAACTATACATTAAAAATTGTACTTTTATTGTATGTAAACTAAAAAATATATATAACAAGTAAAAGAGGGAAAGGCAGCCTAGCAGAAGGAACAGCGTGTGCAAAGCTCTGGAGGTAAAAGTGAGCTGTCAAAAGTTGGCTGGGAGGGAGTTGGGGGAACCTTCTAGAAATGGGGCTGTAGGCAGAGCCTGGCTCTTGGGCATGAGTGGTCTCCTGACCCAGCCAGGGATTTATGCTATGATCCTGAGACAGAGGGGACAAGGGAAGGGCTTTTGAGCTTGGAGAGGTGGGGTTGTGTTTGCATTTTAGGGAGCAGTTTCAGAGGGGGGTGTGCAGGGAGTGGAGTGGAGGGGGAGTGTCTGAGAGTGATAGTGATCCTGGTGGACAGGATGGAGGAATGGGCCCTGCAGCTGGCCAAAGGATGCAGCTGGGAGGGATATGTGGGCAGGGGAACTTCCAGGCCTTGGTAACCTCAGATGGGGACCCTGGGGGCAGGTCATGGGTGACTTCTGTTTCTTGTTCAGGCATCTGGGTATACAGCCTCTCCTTGTATACCTGCC